GAACGGTAACACAGAAGGAAAAGTGTCTGTGACACAACATCACAGGCTTGGCCCTCTTTTGATTTTGTATCTTTTATTGAAACTATTGTAATCCTTACAGGTAACTGAAATTACTTGTGAGGCACAATATTCCTTTCATGTGTTCAAATGTATGTATTTTAATTTAAAATTCAATCATCGTAAACTTTTACAATTCACTAAATGTATTTATTAAAATGCAGGCTTGCAGTGGACTGCTTGCAAGATTTGATTGTTGCGTTACTTCATTCATCCCGCTCCCCTTGTATCTCTAAAAAAAGGCAGAACCCCAACTAATGTGCACAATACACATAATGGTGCGTTAATGTAACACGAGGGGCCTGTTGTCATAAATATGCATCAGTACGCACAATGGAAAAGAGGGTCACATAAGGGTTCACGATTGCCGGTGCAAGACAGTCTCCAATAACCCACTTCACATGCGTGGCCAACTACATCATTCGCATCATGCACCGACTCCAAAAGGTCAATTTCTGCTTTCTCATTTTAAAGGGAATGAGGGAAGCTGCTTCGTTTAGCTGTGAGTCGTCTGCATTCCATCCTGCAATGGCGCACAATGGCGCAAAGGCCCCATCCTATCTGCGTGGATCGAGGGCAATACAAAAAAAAAAAAAAAGACAACTCCACCCAGTTAGACTGTGATTTGTGCTAAGTTTCCGTTGGGCACAAAAAGAGCGTCCAAAATTCTCAAGTTTCATTTTTGGAATATACAGTCATACCTCGGTTTTCAACCATAATCCGTTCCAGAAGGCTGTTCGAAAACCGAAACCACATTCTTTTTTAAAAAAAGAATCTTTATTGAACACATCTACTCACAATGGAACGCTACATGAGCAAGCGTCACTTCTTCGTCTACCCGAGGAAGTGTAAGTAAGGTGAGAGGAGTCAAGTGGCACATTCAAGTGCGCTCAGTTTGGTCAAGAACCGATTTTCGGTCGTAATCCGAGGCATAAAAAACTAGAAATTTTTGGTTGAAAACCGATTTGGTCGAGAACAGAGACGTTCGAAAACCGAGGTTTGACTGTACGATCAATTAAAAGTACCCAAAAAAGAGAGGAAAAAAATCGGTGAGTCTGCAAATTGGTGAGTGCCGACCTGCAAATCAGCAGGGATGTAGTTTTACCTCAGTGCAGAGGTACTGGGTTCGATTCCAGCTCTGGCCTTCCTGTGTGGAGTTTTCATGTTCTCCCCGTGCCTGCGTGGGTTTTCTCCGGGTACTCCGGTTTCTTCACACATTCCAAAAACATGCATGACAGGCTGATTGAACACTCTAAATTGTCCCGAGGTGTGAGTGTGAGTAAATTTGTTATTCGTCTGTGTGTGCGTTGTGATTGGCTGACACCCAGTTCAGGGTGTCCCCCGCCTACTGCCCGAAGACAGCTGGGATAGGCTCCAGAATGCCCCGCGACCCTTGTGAGGATAAAGCGCGTTAGAAAATGGATGGATGGATGGAAAAAATGCACGCACCATTTCCGTATTTGGGTTATGGAGACATGCTATTTTCCGGTCGCTAGTCCAGCACATGGTAATAGTATCAACTCTTTAAAATATACTCGCAATCTGCTGGAATTATGCTGAGTTACCATAAATGACATATTACCTTATTATTTGCTTCACTTATCCAAGTGGCGGCGAAGCGACCAAAGCATTTAATGAGCCGTTTGCTGAATCACAGGACATGTTCTGTGTGAACACAGACTTGCACGGTTTATTTTGACATGCTCAACTCAACTTTGAGGGCACAAAAACAACCACAGAATAGAATACAAAGTCTTTGTCACGTTCTATGGAACAGATTCAACAAATTTGAGCTTCTAAAAACAAAAGACAAATAATAAAATAATAATGACAAGCATATACTACTAACTGCAGGATCAGGATAAATGTTCCCATGAAGCTTCATGATGGCGCCGCTGAAATCCTCTCTCTCATGGTCGGGTGCCTCGCAAATAAAAAGGTTGAACGTAATTGCCAGCATACCACAGAGTTGGCTGGAAGGATTTCTCTATTTTAAAAAGTCACAATTTCGGAGGTCATTTCCCAGGTGTAAAGCATCAGCTCTGAGCTATGGAATGTATCTACTGTATTCCAAAAACCAATGTTAAGACAATTTTAAAGAATTACATTATTTTTAAGACAATTTTAAAGAATTACGTTATTTTTAAAATTGTCTAAATTGTCTTAAGCCAGAAGCTCGTACACCTCCGTATTTTCCACTGGAAATATGTCATGTGCTGCCATGCATAGAGTCCAGACAGCGCTTTCCTCCGAGTTGGCAACGACTTCAAAATTTATCTTGACAACGTTAAAGTTTCTATCCTTCTGCTTGATCTTAGTGCCGCTTTTGATGCAGTCGTACCATTTTGCTTCATCGTCTTGAACACCATATCGGCCTCAGGGAGACTAGTCCTAACTGCTTTTCCTCCTATCTCATGAATAGACCATTTTCAGTTTGTCTTGGTGACCGCAAGTCAGATCATATCATCTTTCCGTGTAGTGTCCCACAGGGATCTATTCTTGACCCTCTACTGTTTAATTTATACATGCTCCCACTTGGTTCGATTACGGCATACATAACATATCATTCGTATGCTGACGACACCTACGCCCACTTGAGGATTTCATTCAGTGCAATGGCAACTCCAACACTTGATGAGAGAGAATTTTCCCCAACTTGATGACAAAACAGAAATGTATTTGTAGACCCGAAGGCTCCGATGCATCTGGTTTCATTGCTGGTGACTCCTTTCTCTGTAAAACCCAGTGAGCACGTCAGAAACCGAGGTGTCATTTTTTTTGACGAAGATCTCAACTTTGAAATAAATATTTCCGCGATTTCCAAGACTGCATTTGACCATTTAAGGAGCATATCAAATTTAAATTTGTGTCAAACTCTCACAAATTGGTCATGCATTAATTTCCAGTTGTTTAGTGCTTTTTTATGATTTAACAAATCCAGCACTTAAAAAACTTTACCTGATTCAAAATGCTGCTAAAACAAACAGATACAAGCACATCACACTAGAACATCTTCATTGGCTTCCAGTAAAGTCCAGAATCGATTTTATTCGTTTTTGAATCTCTTAATGGGGGTGATATTAGACAGACACTTTTGATCCACAGGGATATCTCTCTTTGATGTACCTCCTATACATCCAACATCAGCTGAAGGTGCTTTTAGTTAGTGGTCCAACACTCACTAACTTTTTTCAATTACGGTAGCTTTTCGGTTTGTCAATTTGTTTATGTTAATGTGAATTTTTAATGTATTGCCATCTTGCTTTTTATCTTAAAGCACATTGACCTTATGCTTACCATATGAAATATGCCATTGAAATAAAATTGACATTGACATATTTAAATTGGCATTTTGCATACATCCGGTTAGGAAGTGTGTGGTCCTGTATGCCCCCCACTTTTTATCATGCACTGTGTAGTAAAATATCTCAAAACATGGGGCTGAGAAATAGTCCCATGCAAAAAGCTTTGTTTTGTCATCTGAATGAGCGGAGTGAGAAATATTGTAATTTGTGGTGAATTGCAATTTTCAGATCTTTTTGCAATCATCCGTTCATTTATGCCACTGAAATCAAACTGCCAAACTGTTTTTTTTTGTCTCTTTGTGCCATGTGATTGGACAGCGACCAGTTAGGGTGTACCGCCGCCTCTCACCCCCTCTGCGCTAGTCTCTAGCACATCTGCAATCCTACAAAATGGATGGATGGAAATCTTTAAAGTATTATTCAGCAAAAATGATAACTAAAAACTACATTTAGATCCCAGTTTGATATTTGGATTAAAAAAAATGCTGAGGTGTTCTCTGCCTTTTGTCTTCGTCATCCCAGCTTTTCTTCCCACTCTTTGATCGCTACATATTGGCTTCATATTCTTCTGCTATATCATTCCCTCATTTTCTCCTGTCCTTGAGGGAGCTGTTCTCCTATCTATTTTTATCATGCGGCCTGGAATGAAAGCAAATGGGAACAGAACCGGAAAGAAGAACATTCATTCTTCTCTGTCACCACTCACTAAATTCTGCCCCACTGCCCCTCTATGCTTCTTGCTTTCAGTAGCCTTTTATAACATTGTTCCGTCACATATTTTTTTTTATCACCCTCCTGTTATTGTTCAACACCAACATTGTTGTGTAGCACAACCTCAATTTCAATCAGTTCTGGACCGCCAACCCGCCATAAGTTATCCATCCATCCATTTCCATTTGCGCTGTTACAGCCAACGATATATTGGGGCCGTTGATTCAGTTTTTATTTTTGTGTTGAGGTTAATCTTGCGTGGCTCAGTGGTCAACTGGTTAGTGTGTCTGCCTCACAGTGTAGAAGTTCAGGGTTCAATTGCGGCTGTAGCCTTCCTGTGTGGAGTTTGGATGTTCTCCCATGCCTGTGTGGGGTTTGTACGGGTACTCAGGTTTCCCCCCACATTCCAAACATGCATGGCAGCCTGATTGAACACTCTTAATTGTCCTTGGTGTGAGTGTGTACGCAGATGGTTGTTCGTCTATGTGTGCCCTGCGATTGGCTGGCAACCAGTTCAGGGTGTACCCCGCCTACTACCCGAAGACAGCTGGGATAGGCTCCGGCATGCCCTGCGAGCCTTGTGGGGAAGAGGATTTTTGTATCACATTTCCGGCGACTGAGAGTGATTCCTTTCTCTTTTATGCACTTAACCATAGAGAGGTGTGTTACAACCGCTTATTCTGTTCAGGGTCGAGAGGAGCTGGAGACTATCCCAGCTGATGTCAGGCAAAAGGTGGACTATACGTTGATTGAACTAGTCGCCAGTCAATTGCAATGCACATTGAGGGACTGGAAATCATTCACATTAACATTCACACCAACAGCAAGCCCTCAATGTCTGCACCAAAGTCAGGCGAATGTACTGCACCACGAGTGACAGAAATATTTGTTCATTGGAATAGTTTATTGTCTTCTGTGCCTATGCAGGCCAATCTGAAGAAGTTCATGGACCTTATACTCCACAATCAGGTGGACAAAGTGTCTAAGATGTTAGAGAGAGGCCTCGATCCCAACTACCATGACAGTGACACTGGTGGTAAGTCAACACCAAATGTTAACTCGAAGCTTTGAATATTACAATGAATTGTTTAATACTAATAATAATCATAACACTACTACTACTACTACTACTACTACTACTACTACTACTAGTAATCATAAAAACAATAGTAAAAATAAGTTATTATTATTAAATGTGCAAATTGTTTTTGTGTGTGACTGTATGCCCGCTGTTTATTTTGTTCCTTGGAGTTTTCTGACATGGAACTCACAAGTGACACACAAAGGCGGAAAAAATATGCAGTTAGTTATCCCAAGAATCTTATTTCCTGGTCCAACCTTAACCTTTCAACCCAAACCATACATACCCTGTCATTCGTGAAACTGCACCTGTTGATGTACTTCATTCAAACATCAACACCCCCATTGACTTAAGCAGTTAGTTTTGGCTACCTAATTACCAGAATTTTAAAAATGACACTGGACTCAACAGTCTTATCTATAATGTGTCATCATATTATCTTTTCCATTAACTTTATTTTCACAGAAGCAGGAGAATAATAATGAATGAAAGCCACTGTATAATTTGAGATTGATTGATATCGGCATGGCATACAATGCAAATAGTATTGGAACAATAGCATAATAACAACAAGCAATATTACTTAATAATGAAAAATACTGTCAAACAATTACAGAATCAAACGGTGTTGCTATATTTTATATCTATAAAATAAAGGGGCCAGTGTTTCTAATGGAACAGGTACGTTTAAATTGATCTTACCTTCAAAACTTGACAAAGATAAAGTTGATGTCCTCTGATCCAAACCCCACAACCAGGCAAGAAAAAAAAACCCTCAAAAGCCCATTTGGGAAAAAAAGAAGACACATTGAGAAGGTCGTGTAGATTGGAGCCCCACCTTCCGAGACAACCAGGCTGCAATGAATGCCGAGAGGGTATCATTTACCTCTCAGAAGTCAAGTTGGCTGCTCTCTTTGTGTACCTGTGAGGAGCTGTAAAATGTAAACATAAGAATAAACATAGGTGTAAAATAAAACAGTCTGAAGCCATGATGATGTATTGTATATTGTATACCCAAGAATACCATCATGTTTGCTATTTAAAATACCCATCACACTCTACTGTATATTTCTGTCACTTCTAGAGAGCCCTTTGACCTTTACAGCACATCTGGATAACGTGGTGGAGATGATCAAGGTTCTTAAGAATGCGGGTGCTCACTTGGACTTCAGAGCCAAAGACGGCATGACAGCCCTCCATAAAGCAGCACGTTCCAAGAACCAAGTTACGCTCACGGTAAGAGAAAATATTGGGCCTGATTCACCAAGTTCCGAAATAGCAGGTGCTCAATTGTGTGTTCACTCACTTTAACCTATTGCGTGTGGTGTTGGCAACAGATGTAACAGTTGTGGAAACTGACGTATTGAAAAGACGGTTTTGCGCTTTAGGTAGCTCTGATGGTTTACTCCATGAACATTTTGGTAGAGTACCACATGCACAAAATTACATTTTAAATGTTTGAATTGAACGTAATTGGGGAAGATTAAAAAAAACAAACATTTACAGAAAAGAAATCTATCACTGCAATATATTTGGGAAGCCAGCTATGACATGCAAGCCACGTTTGGTTTGATTTACTTGCACTAAGCACATCTCCCTATCTCCCTATACTGCGTAACACTGCATCTAAAGCTTTGGACACCGCTCCCAAACAACTCCACAGTGTGCACAAATGACACAGACAAGAAAATGCAGAGTTGAAAGGAGTTTTGTCATTAGCGATATGGCATGATACCTTCTTGTGACTAGCTCTAAATCAGGGGTGTCAAACTCATTTTTGTCACGGGCCACTCTGAAGTTACATCTTCCCACACAGGGCTTTTATGACAGTGAAACCACAAAAATATTTGATCATCTCATGGCATTATGACTTGTACACAACAAATTAATGGATTACTAGTTTTGAAATCAGTCAATTATAATAGTTTGTCAATTATTGTTCAAGTGACTGTAGACAAGGTAACAAAATTATTGCAATTAGACGACAATTTGACATTTTGGTACATTTTTTTAAGCATCATGCAAGTTGGGTGGCCCGGTGGTTGAATGGTTAGCGCGTTGACCTCACAGTGCAAAGGTTGTGGGTTCGATCCTGGCGCCGGCCTTCCTGTGTGAATTTTGCATGTTCTCCCTGTGCCTGCGTGGGTTTCCTCCCACATTCCAAAAACATGCACGGCAGGCTGATTGAACGCTATAAACTCCGATAGGCTCCAGCATGCCCCGCGACCCTTGTGAGGATAACGCGTACCAGAAAATGGATGGATGGATTATGCAAGTTGATACACATGTTTTTCTTTTGGGTGGGCAACTTTCAGACACGGTATTTAAAAGATGCAAAATCAACCGTGGCAATTCATGTGGAGCTTGGCAAGTCACATTGAGTGTGCAAAATTCATCTTTTTTTCAAATATGCAAAATTCACTCAGTGAACCGCACAAAACTATTGCCTGTTTGAGAGTCTCATTCCTGGGTGCTCCAAGTTTGTCGATCAGCTTCCACAGGTCTTTGCATGAGCAGCCAAGTTTACACCCGTTTTTGCACATGCAAAACTTTCATATATCAGACCCATAAATGTTAATGCTCTGCTTGCTTCATGTTTTATTCACACCTGCTTTTGTCAACATCTCGGGTTTGTAATCCCATTGCAAAGAGAAAATATGTTCTGACATGACTCCACAGGCACCCAAACATACTCATGTTTTTTTCACCTATAGAGGCATTAAGGGATAACAACTGGTTTTCTATAGGCATATGCTAGCCATGATCTTTTGCAGTTTGATGTCCCTGATACATCTGTTTCATTGCCTCACTCTCATTGATCTTTGTGAAAAGGCAGTTTTATAATTGTAATGTTCATCTTTTTGCATGTGACATGTTTAAATCAGTTCTGGTGTTTTATTTTTTTGCCCATTGTCTTCGCAGAAATCCAAGCATTAAGCATAGGGTGAAGCCGATTATTCTCTCAATTCAAAAATCAGAACTCTTGTGCAGCAACGAAATGCCGCAATGCTTAATACTTTAAGTTGAAACAAGAAAAAGTGGAATTTTGACCGATAGATAAATCCTTAAAGTAACATTTGAACTGTTTTAACTACCATGCAATTGCACAGCTAATCAAAAGATTGTCTATATGGAGATGTTTAAAATATATGAATTTTTGCCAAGCTTGCAAGGGAGGAAGTCATGGTGCGTCTCGGCAGAGTGCGCCGCTCCAACAGCCCGTGGACTGAGGGCAGTTGGAGCCATTGCGAAATTTTACGCAACTTAAAGAAAGCCACAACTCTCGTCCAATAGCCTGTCCCACACAAACTGGATTGCTATGCTCACCGTCTCTTTGAACCACGGTTACCACGATAGGTTCCCGCAGCCATAAGCCCTTTCAGATTTTTGAATTTCCACACATGCCATTTGGATTCTAGTGTAATGACCTAAAAAAAACAAAACAACCCCCCCACCCCCCCAGAAAAAAACCAATGTACTATTTAAGTATGACACAAGCGATCGAATATGGATGTGAGGAAAGGGAGTCCTTTTTAGCATTTGTTAACTATTCCTATTACAGTAAGTGTTTGAATCAGTTACTGTCACTCCTGTAAAACTTTGCAATCATACACCTTTTTTTCTGGTGATGGCGACTCAGTGGCACTTAAGCTGTCCAGTGTTTTAACCAGGCAGCCATGACCGAGACTGCATGTTCCCCTGTAATTTTCATGGTTTGTGCAATTTCTCTATCCACTGGCACAGCACCATCATTGTCCTTCCCCTGTCATTGTCATTTAAACACTAAAGTGGACAAGAAGCTACACAACCATATGTTAAATGATGAAGAAAAAAAAATCTGTGACACTACTATCTTCTAGTTTGCCGTGACTGCAACATTTGTAGCTTTATTGCAGTTTGTGAGGCTTGACATCATGCTTGATTTCTTTTGTCTGCACTATGTACAATGTACTGTCGAAAGAGAAGCTCACATGTATATTTTTCTGGTCCACGCTACATGGTTGGCACAATGTTTGCACGTAGAAAACCAACTGACCATGTTTTGACTCAGTCAGAAACTGGAATGGGTGATGGAGCTTGCTCAATAATTCAGGGACCCTTTTTTTCTGTCCTATTTGTTTTGGACTCGCCACTCACACCCTCATATGTACTCATTTTGCAGACACTGTTGGAGCTGGGAGCATCTCCAGACTACAAGGACAGTCGTGGTCTGACTCCTCTGTATCACAGCGTGGTTGTGGGAGGAGACCCAGGTTGCGGCGAGCTCCTTTTAAACCATCGCGCCTCTGTGTGCTGCCAGGATGAAAATGGCTGGCATGAAATTCACCAGGTATACCCACGCAAGCTCCCCACGTCATTCATTCAGCAGCTGCACTCATTTTCACAGAGGCAATTTGAACTGCTTAGTTATATGGATGCGTGCGTGCGTGCGTGCGTGTGTGTGTGTATATAGACCATCAGTTTTATCAGACTGCTCATATCTCACTTCCAAATCCTTTGCCTTCCCAAATCTGTCACGGTTCAGACACAAATATCAGCTTTTTGGCTGCTTATACAATAGAAAGAATAATTCCTGCAAGTAAGTTCTTATGCTACATTCACAGCAAAGGTGAAATGACAATTTAACCTTGTGGGAGTTTTAATCTTGAGAGTACAAATGTTGCCGCTTCATTCATGTCATGCCGCAACAGAGAATAGGAAGATTTCCACCTTGTCCGATATGACAGAGAAAAAGATTGTATGAACGTCACTCGTCAGTCAGTCGGCTGGTGGTTGTGCAAAAACTGACAGGGAAGCTGCTGACATCGACTAGTTAAGTGTCAACATTGCAGACCAGCCGGCAGTACAAAACCTCACAACACTTTTTCTTCTTTTCTTCGAATCACGAGACATTTTGCTCTTTTTGCAGGAAACATCCCGATCCATTTTAAAATGCTGCACCAGATTGCCTTTATTTGCCACGACCATTGTTACATTGCAGATCAAACAAACAAGCTTCAGATGAAAATAAACCCCCAAAATTTCTGAACGGCTCTGATCATTCGCTGCAAGCTATATGTGACTTCTGTTTACTTCTTGTCATGCAGGTCACGTGCGATGTAAGTTAAAGGTGACCTACTCGTTTCTTTAAAAAAAAAAAAAGTATTTTTTTGTGGACGCAAGACTGGGTGTCGTGTACTCGAACACAAATAACAAAAATAACACACACCCACATGAAAAACTTTTTTTTTTTTAACGCCAACCCCATCCCTCTCATGAAATATTTGGGATTACAACGGGATCGATGTGACCCCCATTCTTACCAGACATGCCAATTTCCTCTCTCATCATTCTCCAAGGCTGCTGCTTTGTGGGCGACAACTGTGTTGTCCAGTTCCCTGTGTTTACACAGATCACAGTGATTTTTTTTTCATTGTTTCTGCATGCATATAGCACATAACATGGAACTTTCAGTATTTACAAGCCGAGTACCCCTGAGCTATTTGACTCTGCAAACTATGATGTGAAATCGTCAGTAAATAAAACACAGTCATATCCTACCCGATGTTTATCCATCCATTTTCTGAACCGCTTTTTAATGACGTTATGAGACATACTGATTATTTGGAGTGTGCTTGGAGCAAGAGTGGGCGGTCCAAATGAAGCCCCAATTTGGTGCTTGTGTCGTTTCCCAAAAAGTCATGTGACCGATGAAGATGAGGGCTCGATTTGTGTGAAATTTTGTCAGTTTTCAACTCATACTTGTTTATATTTATAAACATTGTACCTATGATGTATTTCTTACTTACATCATATTTGCACGGTATTTCAGGCATCACCTACTCCGGTCCTCGAGGCCCTTATCCTGCATGTTTTAGATGTTTCCTTTCTCCAACACACCTGATTCAAATGATCACGATCAGGATCGGGCTTCTGCAAAGCTTGCTGATGAGCTGATCATTTGAATCCAGTGTGATGGAGAAAGGAAACATCTAAAATATGCAGGATAGGCGCTCTTGAGAACCGAAGTTGGTGACCCCTGCTATAGATTTTATTGCTTGGTCTTCTTGATCACTTGACGCGCCATAGAGCAAATGAATCACCAGTCATGAATCATGAGCAAAACAATTAGGTGGAAAGCTACTGTGCTTCATGAAGCTTCATTTCGAAGCTGAGTTTATCTGGCCTCACTCAGGCATGGGAGTGCTGGAGGCTTTCCTAGCTGTCTTTGGTCGTTTTTGAATAAACGCGCACTCCCCAGACGGCATGAAATACCTTCCAAAGGAAATATTACCTTGCCGACATTACCACCAGCTCCGGTCCTCTAACTATAGGTGCATGCCTGGAAGAGCCCGGTTGTCTTTGTATTTTTATCAAATCATGTGTGATCACACGAGAGCTCTCTCTTGGGAGCTGGATGCTTGACCGGTGGTGGATGAGAATCATCATGTGTTTGGTGAGCTGTGTTGACTGTTGAGATTACCTGAGCACCACACACACACACACACACACACACACACACACACACGACCAAAACTTTTCTTTTTTTTAAATCTTTGTATATCGGGTCCATCAAAGATAAATAATCATTTAAGATTAAAAAAAAAAATCGTGTATGTATTCGACCTTTCAGTATAAGGCAGTCCAGCCAGGTTTATGTGTTGGAGAAGAACTGTTACAATGCTAAGGCCAAATACATAGCCATTGTTTTTACTCCCTATTATGATGGATGGATGGATGGATGGTTTACATTAAAGTGGTGGCCTTACCAACTTTGATAACATTTTAAATATGACAAACACCGCTCTCTTTGATACTGCTTCACTCTATATGTATTTGGGTGAAACAGAATGTGATTCTGATTTCTGCTGATGTGCTCAATAAACGCAGTTACTTTTACACTTGAATCCTTTTTTTCTGATTGATACATTTAACGTATTTTTTTACTGTATTTAATGCCTTTAATCTACTGCTTGCTCACTTTCATGGTTTTTCTTGTCGTGGCTGCGTTCAAACTGAGCATGGTTTGTTGTTATTCTGGTTCTCAGCTCATTTGCAGCACACTGACATCTAGTGTAAATAGACGGTACTGCATTATCTGCGCTGCTCGAAGTAAAAGTTGGATTTCATATGTTGATACGTGCTGCAATCCTTGTGTTGTCAGGCTTGCCGACATGGACATGTGCAACACCTGGAGCATCTTCTGTTCTACGGAGCAGACATGAGTGCTCAGAACGCCTCAGGAAACTCTGCCCTACACATCTGTGCTCTCTATAACCAGGTGAGTATAGTGGGCACGAAGTTTCTTCAATATTGTGAATGTAAAGATCGACATATAGCTAGGTGTCAATTATCCAGTTAGACATGTGTCCAAGAAATGGGAAGGAACATTATTGGAAAAATATAAGATACGGCTACAGTAGAAATAACTGTACTAACTACTGTATAACTAAATAAGAACTTAAATATTACATTTGGATCAGCAAGTTGGGGGTGTTGGGGGGGGATGGACCAATCCATCCAATTTTTTAAAACTTTAATTTATTCAAACTTTTTTTATTTACTTACTGTAGAGTCGACCCCCGCGATTGCGGGATATTGGGACTGACCTGGCGCATGAATAGGCAAAGTTTGTGTCTAAAAAATGTCCATTGAAAGACAAAATGGAAAAATTAAACCCTAAAGATGCTACCCAAAACAGGGGAAATGGCATTGTGGTGGAAGGTTGCTCCCCCACCGCCCCCCCCCAAAAAAAAAATCCAAAGTTATTTCAAACTATTGCCACAAAATGTCCCTAGTGTCAACCAGATTGCGTTTGCTGTCATGTAATATTTTGTCAATCAAATACATCATTGATTGATCGGCAATTTGTGACATTACAACCAGTCACTGATTTTGCTTAAAATTCCAAATATCTGCCATGCGATCCAACCAATCAGATCAATGTAAAGTCCAATGAATGCACGACTCTTGACACCTCTCCGGCTGTGTTTGGCTCATTACTATTGATAGATGTGTGCAGAGATTCACAAATTGATTCAAGACTATTATCAACCACTGCTTAAGACATGGCCTGGTAGTCGAGTGGTTAGCATGTCGACTTCACAGTGCAGAGGTACCGGGTTCAATT